GAGTAGTATGAGTGGCAAGAAAAGATCCTTGGATCTTGATTCTATCTCTTCTGATTAGGGAGGTGAAGCTGAGTCTGAGGCTAAGAAGGCAAAGGCTGACAGTAACCTGAATATTTCTTTGGTGGAGGAAACCAGCCATAACTGGTCCCAAAGTGCCCAATGAAGGTATGTGTGTGGAATTATAGAGGTCTGGGAGGACCCTCTACAATTTTCCAAATCAGAGAGACTCTTAGAGCTCACATTCCAGATTTTCTATTTCTTTCTGAAACCAAGAAGAAGAAAAAATTTGTAGAAAATGTTAGTCAGAATCTTAGTCTAGATGATAGATGGCACTATGTTTGTCCAGTAGGTAGAAAGGGGGGGCTTTACCTTGTTGGTCTTCTAGAGTGTCAGTGCTAGAGGTTAGTAGCTCAGATTTTTGCATTATAGTTAAGTTTATTATTAGTGGCCAAGTTGGTGTTTTTAGAGGGGCTTTTGTTTATGCTAGTAATGACCCTAGTATTAGGAAGAGTCAATGGGATTTTCTGGTTAATGATAGTAAGTCTTGGGGGGATTTATGGTTTTTGGGGGGTGACTTCAATGACTTGATGTCTAATTCTGAGAAGAATGGGGGTAAGTGCAGGGATGAGGCCAATTTTAGGGATTTTAGAGAGTTTGTTCAGCAGATGGGTATGATTGATTCCAAAACTGTGGGCAGTCCCTTTACTTGGACCAATAACAGGAAAGGGGTTGATTTTGTGGAAGAAAATTTGGATAGAATTTTTATTTCTCCTGAGTTTAATGTTCTTTATTCTAACTCTCTTGTTAAGCATATATCTCTTATTGCTTCTGATCATAAAATGCTTATCCTGTTGGTGAATGGGTCTGATGTCACTAGGAAGAAGAGGTTTAGTTTTGATGTGAGATGGGTGAACAGGGAAGGGTTTAAGGAGGCAGTTGAGAGGGGGTGGAATGTTAGAGTGCATGGTCCTAAATTGTATAGCATGCAGAAAAGACTTAAGAATGTGAAAGATAGTCTCATTAATTGGAATAGCCTTTCTCATAATAACTCTGCAGTGCTAATGAATGAATTGAAAGTTAAAATGGAAGCATTAGAGTTGAAGGGTGAGGATAGGGAGTGGGATGAGTGGGAGGATTGTAGGGCTATGCTGCATAATTATAGTGAGGAAGAGCTTTTCTGGAAACAGAAAGCTAGAATTAATTGGCTTAAGGCTGGGGATAGAAACACTAAGTTTTTTCAGGCTAGTGTCAGGCATAGAAGAAATGTCAACTCTCTTGATAACCTGAAAAGAATGGATGGAAGTAGATGCTTGTCTGAGAAGGATACTGTGGAGGAAATTAGCAGATACTTTGATGATTTGTTCAGATCCTCTAACCCTATTGTTGACAATTGTAACCTGCAGGGCATTCCTTTATCCATAACAGCTGCTATGAATGACAGGTTAACCCGAATGGTTGAAGACTCTGAGATTGAAAAGGCTCTCATGAAAATGGAACCTTTAAAAGCTCCTGGTACTGATGGTTTAAGTGCATGTTTTTTTTCAGAAATCTTGGTGTATCATTAAAACTGAAATGTGTGAGGCTGTGAAAAACTTCTTTCAAAATGGTAAAATGCCTAAGGGTTTGAACCACACATCTATCACTCTTATTCCCAAAAAAGAGAAATGCTGAACTTGTTTCTGAGTATAGGCCTATAAGCTTGTGTTCTGTGGTGTACAAAATCATCTCTAAGATCATTGCTAACAGATTGAAATTGGTCCTTAATGTTTGCATTTCACCCACTCAGTCTGCATTTGTACCTGGTAGGCAGTTAATTGACAATGCTGTGATTGCTAATGAATGCATACATTATCTAAATGGCAAAAGAACATGCAAAAACAGTTACATGACAATTAAACTGGACAGGTCAAAAGCATATGATAGAGTGGAATGGGATTTCCTGTGTAGAATATGTAAAAAAATAGGCTTTTGTGATAAATTCATCTCTTGGATCCTGGCCTGTATGTGCTCATCTTCTTTCTCTTTTAACATTAACGGTTTTCCCCTTGGATATGTAGTGCCTTCTAGAGGTCTTAGGCAGGGTGATCCTCTTTCACCTTATCTTTTCATTATTCTTTCTGAGGCCTTAGATAATTTGATCAAACAAGCTTCTCTTAACTCTTAGTTTCATGGTATTCAGATCAGCAGACATGCTCCTATAATTAATAACCTGTTTTTTTGCTGATGACTCTATATTGTTCTGTAGAGCCAGTGTTTCTCAAGCCCATCTTGTTCTAAGAATTCTTAATGAGTATGGTAGGGCCTCTGGTAAGCTTGTCAATATGGAGAAATCTTCTGTTTTCTTCTCCAAAAATACTTCTTCTGTTGCTATCAGAGATATCTGTTATGTGTTGAATGGGATAGCTAGGGTGCACTCTTCCAAAGACCTGGGATTACCATTAGGTATAGGCAGGAATAAGAGAGATATTTTTCAGTTTGTGAGTGAGAGAGTGAAGCAGAGAGTTTGTAGTTGAAAAAATGGGTTCTTGAGTAAGGCTGGGAGAGAAGTATTGATTAAGTCTATCCTAGATGCTTTACCCACCTTTGTTATGTCTTGTTTTAGGCTTCCTGAAGCTGTTTGTAAGTCCATTTGTAGGGAGATAGCCAATTTTTGGTGGGAAAAATGAGTGGTGGGGAGAAATAAAATGCATTGGGTCAAATGGGACAAGGTAGCTAAACCTAAAGAGAGTGGTGGCTTGGGTTTTAAGAATATTAGGGTGTTTAATGAAGCCTTATTAGTTAAGCAGTTATGGAGGCTGATTATCCAACCTAATTTATTAGTGAGCAAGGTTCTAAAAGGCAAATACTTCTAGAAAGAATCTTTGATGGATGTTCAGTGTAAAAATTCTGACTCCTGGTTATGGAGGAGTTGGATGGCTGCTAGAAAATCTCTGAAATTAGGAATGAGGTACAGGGTGGGAGATGGTAGGAGTATAAGCATCTGGCAGGCTCCCTGGCTCCCATCCAAACCATCATTTTGCCCTGAACACCAATTTCCTAGTGACAGAGATAGACTCAAAAAAGTGGCAGATTTGATCCTGAGAGACACTAAGGAATGGGACACTGAACTTATACAGCAGTCCTTCAGTTCATCTGATGCAGAGGCAATTCTCAAAATTCCTTTAAGTCATAGTGGACAGAAAGACAGACTTGTCTGGCACTGGCACCCCAAAGGTGAGTTATCAGTTAAAATTGTATATGAGTACCTCATGCAGAGGTTGGCTTTGGAGGAACTTGGATCCAGTGACTTCAACTCCTCTTCAAAAATGATGTGGAAAACCACTTGGAGCTTGCCAATAAAAAGCCAAAATCAAAAACTTCATCTGGAGGTGTTGGTTCGGGTTTTTGAGCACAGGTTTGAAGCTACAACAGAAAAAGTTTGAGTGTGATGAGTGGTGCCATGTGTGTGGGGAGGAAAAGGAGGATCTAGAACACATTTTGTTCTACTGTAGTAGAGCAAAAATCTGCTGGCAGTTGGTTGGAGTTGAATGGGACAGATTGGGTGAGACAAAGGCATCATTTCAAAACTGGTGGTTTGAGATATGTGTAAGGAAGAAGGGCTATGGTATCATTGACAGAATTAGTCTTTAATGCTACCTTATGTGGTGGTTATGGAAGACTAGGAATGGCTGGCTGTTTGAGAAGAATTGGACCCCAGAACACATAATAGCTAGAAAGGCTCAAGATGAATGGGTAGAATTTTCAGAAACAGTGGAGAGGAATGGGTCCTTTGGTAGTGAAGACCATAACCATGGGAACGGTCTGTCTGTAGCTGGGGTGGAAGATATTCAGGCTGGAGTAGGGCAGGCTTATATAGCTGTCAGTGCTCTATCTAACACCTTGGGATGGCTAGGCTGTGGAGGAGTGATGATCAAGGAAGGTGAGCTGGTTGATAAATGGTCAGAGGCTAAGGCTTTTGCAGGTTCTAAGCAAGAAGGTAGATTGATGGCAATTAGATGGATAATGGAAAAAACTGTGGAGAATAATGTTGAAGATTTCATTTGTCTGGTGGATGATAAAGACCTTGTCTTCAAACTGAACAACAAGAATGCCTTCAATTGCCATTATGATATCATTGCTGTTGACATTTATGACTTAGTTTCTAGGCTTATTTCTTGCAAATTTGTCTTTGATTGTAATTGGGTTTCTGAATGTGTGGACTTAGCCAAGATGGCTTTAGAGGGAAAGCTAAATGCTGCCTCCCGTGATGATGGTGCCTTAGTTGTTTAGGGTATGATTGTCTGTAGTCATTTGACTAAACTTTATGTACATTGTTTGAATTCTTCTATTATCAGGTTAACTTTGAAAAAAAAAAAAAAATACTCCAAACAAACCAATTGGTAAAAGTCCAAATCTACTTATACTTATTCCAAACAAATACGTATGATTAAGAAGTACCCAAGTTCGACATATAAAATACGAACACTAAAAATCGACATGCAGGATCGAAAAATTTGTTTGGTCACAAAATCAATTCTTAATTCACAAAGAGTAATTGAGCCGAGTTTATAGAAAAGTGATAATTAACTGTCTCAAAAATTCTATGGAACCATCGGATGGTTTTCTTATGGAGCCATCCACCACTTAATGTATTGACACCTGTTCAAAGTGTATTTATTGCAGGACACGTGTCAATACACTATTGGTGAATAAGTGTGGATGACTCCATAAGTCGAGCCATCCGATGGCTCCATAGCAAAACTGTTAACTGTCTTATCACTATTGTCTTCTATTTGAAATGTTTATTTTCCATTCGACTATTATAATTAATGTATATTTATTAAAATAGTTACTTACTAAAAAAATTCACATTTTATAAACATAACCATAATGCAAAAAACACCAAACCAAGAGGTCCAAATTGCACAACTCCTAATATACAACTAATTTCACAATTCTATTC